TAATAAAATCCATGGACATAAATACCATGATGAATTTATCCCATGACAGCACTTAAAGCTTCCAAGTTTGGATATTTAGCAGAATTTGCCTGTGCAAAATAAGAGAAATATCAACAAAATGATATGAAACTAATTACTTTCAACTTTTTAATGACTAAAAAATTTACAAAACTTCTATTACCAAGACAACTTTCTTTTAATAATAAGTGAAGGGCTGTACTTTAAAATACTCTTCCCATGGTATGTAGAAAATAATTCAGTACTGGTTTTCGCCAGGAAAACATCTGAAGGCACAGTAAGCACAGTCCAATCCTATAATGCATCTGAGATAATGTAAAATTGAAAACTGATTTTAATTCTATTTTTAAGACATAGTTAATCTGGCAAAGCTTCAATTATCTCCCACATAAACACTTTACCCTAGTAACTTTACCCTTCACCAGCATTCTGGAGATTTGACTAAAGGTTAAGCTTTTGTCTTGTAATTACTTCCACCGGATACATAGGTAGCCAGGTAGCCTCAGGGTTGGAGCTGTGCAGACTACTCCCAAGGACAGCAACCTAATCCTTTATCTGAGGTCTATTTCCATTTTCTGAACAGGAAGGGAGGAGGTAAGGTGACTCTCCTCCCACCTCCTCATTAACACTTCTACCAATCAGGATTGTCTGACCTTTGTGAGGGGAGGTCCAAATGATATACGGTAAGGCCAATCAGAAGGAAGACACATCCAGTTTTAAAAGAGCCTGTCAGCCCCTCACTGAGGGTCTTTGGTCATTGAGAGAAGGCCACTGACCGATTGTTGGTTATTGCTAGTCTAACTAATAAATTGTTCATGCTCGGAATCTTGTCTCTCAGTTTACCTTAATTTTCAAACATAACAGTTATGGGGGTATTCCCTCCAATGAGGCATGTAATAACTTATCCATCCCTGCCTATCCAGTGATGCTTTTGTCCGTGTCATCCCCTAAGTTCACCACAGGGGATCCACCCAGCATGCCAATTTCTTTGCTGTCTGCAGATAGCATGAGGTTATCTCTTAGTAATCTATCAATTATCTCTCATTTTCACCGTATGTCTTATTTAATTTTTTAACTATACATTCCTTTCATGGTATCCTTTATACTACTTCTACATTATTTCTTGTTTGTAATATATTACAGGGCTGCTGGGTGGTGCAGTGGATAGAGTGCTGGGCCTAGAGTCAGGAATACTGATCTTTTTAAGTTGAAATCTGGCCTCAGACACTTACTAGCTGTGTGACTTTGGGCAAGTCACTTAACCCTGTTTGCCTCAGTTTCCTCATCTGTAAAGTGAGCTGGAGAAGGAAATGGCAAACCACTTCAGTATCTTTGCCAAGAAAACCCCAAATACGGTCATGAAGGATCAGACACAACTAAAGTGACTAAACAACAACAACATATTACAGCCTGCTCACACCCATCTTGTTCATTCCACTGATCTTTCGGTGATCATCAAATTCAGCTCTTCAGGTGCTCAGAGTCAAACAATATCACCAGAAGACTATAGGTATTAAAAACATAAGCTTTTGTTTTATGGAGAAGCTTGAGACCATTAAAAAAACTGCAGTTAATCAAAAACAATCTAGCCCACTCATCCTCCTGTTCAGTTCTGGGCAGCACTCATCATCCATTTGCAGTGTCTCTCCACACAAACACATACAAAGGCACACACAAGTTGTGTATCTAATTACATTTCATAGTCTAGAGAAAAAAGGCATTTTCATCCACTTGGTTTTTCCAGTGGGGATAATTAGGCCAAGCTCTTTTAAGTAGTCATTTAGGAAATACTACATGTTTCCTACTTTAGATTATAAATGTATACTAAGACTTGATGCGATCAGTACAATGTCATGGATAAACAGGAATATCTGAAGGAACTCACCATCTATAGGGAATGCCTTCTCAACTTGGATTCTGGGCTAGATCTCCTCCCTGGGGATTATCTTTGGTGACCATATGTTTTATGCCTTGCTTGACATTATCAACAGGTCAAACAAGGTTATCTTAATTGTTATATATTTTAAGTAACTTTGCATAATTTTGACATAAGCTCAGGAGAAATCTATTCAGAGAAGACTCTTTAAGGCAACATTTTACTCTATCAATGAACTGTTTGGTTTTTTTTATAGTCAACAAACAAGAATATTAGAATCTTGTATTTTCTACATCTTTCAGTCTACATAATGGCACGATGTAGCTTGTATGCAGAATACCACCTGTGAAGCTTGTCTATTCTCTTCTAATAGCCTCATCAAGAATACTCTTGATTCGTGCTGAAATTTTCTGGTATGTACCTGTGACCCTCACTCTGAGGTCTTTTCCAGCTCTAAGTCTATAATTTTATGAACCCATGAAACAAAACAAAAAAACCCCTGTGTTTCTGGTATGTGTGTATGCATGCCTATATATATATATCCATCTATCTATATAGATATATGGATACAGCTATATAAATCTTAAAAGACTATAGAAAGGTCAGCTATTATTAGGCAAAGGACAGGTTTATTGTCCTTATTTTTCAGATAAGGAAATAAAATCATAGAAACAGGTAACAAACCCAGGATAAATAAATGGCTGAGCTTGACTTGAACCCAGGACTCCTGGGCTCTAAAAGCACAAATGTTTAAGACATTAGGAAAAATTCCTTTATCTGAAATGAGACTATAAGGAAGATGTCAAATTTTGTCACTATGAATATAATTCTTTTAGAATTCTAATTTAGAATTTAGAATGAGAATTTAGAATTGTTTCTTCCAAAACTCAGGTCAAAGTCTGAGTTCAAATCTATTCTCAGACAATTATTAGCTTTGTGACCCTGGGCAAGTCACCTAATCCTGTGTGCCTCCGTTTTCCTCAACTGTAAAACGGGGATCATAATAGCACCTACCTCCCAGGGCTGCTGTGTGGATCAAATGAGATAATATTTGTAAAGTGCTTAGCACAATGCCTGGCACATGAGTAAGCACTATTTAAGTGTTAGCTATTATTATTATAATTATTAGCTGTTAAGTACTGGTGCCTTCTCTTCACAAGAATTACCTCGTATTTATTTTGTATATATTTTTATATTTGCTTGTTGTTTTGTTAGAATGTAAGAACCTTTGTCACTTCAGCACTCAGCACAGTGCCTTGCACAAAGTGACACTTAATTGCCTGTTGCTTGAATGTTTGATGTAGCCTTTCATAAACATAAAAAGATACAAACTCTTCACCTTTTAATAACCTCACTTCCTTTAACTTTTCCTTCTAATTAATGTTAATATTTATTTCAATTATAATTACAGTATGATTTTTTTTCTTTTTAGGAAATAAGATTTCTTTAGTAGAATTTGCCCTTAATTTTTTTTTAAACTCCTGCCCATGGTCCACAGATTTTAAATGATCTTTACTACAACAAAATCTCACTACAACAGAAAAACTTGAAGAAACTGTGTTGTAATGAATACTGTTTGAATTAAGTGGACCATGAGCTGAGGTCTGGAATGTTATTGGGTTGTGGTTTTTTTTGGTTTATTTTTGGGGGTTTTTTTGCTGGGCAAATCCCATTTAAAAAATAATAGTATATCTTATTTCCTTTTTTTAAAAAAGTGCTTATGCTATAATTATAACTGAAACTTTCTGAGGGGAAGGTACTAAGAATGGTACAGGAGGCTTGAGGAGAGAAGAAAAAAATTTGGAACAACTGCTGTGGGTGGTTCTCAAGAATCAATTAGGGAAGAGTAAAAGGAATTCTTTGCCCTGCCATAGTGAGGCTTATTTGACATTAGATATTATACACTTGTGATGGACCCAGGCAATGTAGCTGTGAGACTTCTTCCAGCAGTCCTCACAGTGAGAACCAGGAAAAGGTTTAGGATGGGATATGCTATGATGTGACATTAGGAAAAGGAATTTCAGAATTCTTGATCATGAAAGTGGAATATTTGTAGGTGATGGCAGTTATCGAGGGTGTGACCACTCTTTTGTGGCCAAAGTGGATGAGAAGTAGATTGTGGGAAACTGTGGAGACTGATGAACTAGGAAGCTAAATTGTTTGAGGGAACATCTACCTGTATGATGAAAGTTCCATATTAAAAAAGACAATAGTCATTCTGGAGAGAAAGGCAGTGAGTCAGCTACTGAACTATAACTACTTATGTAACTATTCCTTTACTATATAAAAATAATAACTGACTATCTTATAGTCTTTATAAGGACAGAACAAGAATAAATGTCCTTAGATTCGGAGGACCTGGAAATTTTGTTGGGGGCCCTGGGTTTGAGTCCCAGGTAACATGAGGTTATGACCTTTGACATGTCCCTTACCTTCTCTGAGCCTCAGTTTCCTCATCCTTAAAATGAAGATCATAATATCTGTACAACCCATTTCATAGGATTACTGTGAAATATCATGCAGAGCACTCTTAAAAACTTTTTTAAAAAGTCGGTTATTACTTTAATCAATGTAAAATGAAAGCACTGAACTAAATAATCTTTAAGGTTCTTTCCAGTTCTAAATACATAATCTTACTACTGACTAGCAGTGTGAAGGACTTAAGTATGAGAAATTATTTTTTAACTTCGAATACTGATAAAAATTATAGTACACTGGAGAAAACTGAAATTTGCTTTAAAGGAAAGATTCTCATCTGGCTAAAGATAATCAATAAGTTCTGAGTGCCTACCACATGCCCAGGTTTAAATGTAAACAGTCCTTAAGTAGAAGAAAGAACTTTTTACAAGGCAGATTTCAACTGATTCTGGTAATTCCCTCAAAGAAATCTAATCAAAGAGTATCCTGTGAAAAAGGTACTTCATTTTTTTTTAAATGAATCTTTATATGACACAAATCTAGATTTTTTTAAAGCCTTGAACTCGAAAAATCACTAACACATTTGTATATATGAATAATGATCAAAATAAACCCAAAAAGTACAAAAACACTTAGAACATTTTCCAAAGTTATTTGTATCCCCACAATAAACCTTAGAAGTGAATACCTATACACAAAATTCTTACTGATGAAGTCCATCTGTGGAACTGCAGAAACATGAATTTTCACCTCTTTAGTTCCTCCTACTTGGCTGATGTAATCCACTGTCCATTTGGTAGTACATGTCCCAAGATCAATTCCTTTCAGCACTACTGGCTTTCTCTGTTGATTATCAAAATAACAAGAATATGAATAACTGTATTACTGCTTAATACCACTAAAATAAAACAGGATATTTTAAAATTAGGTGCAAAAATAATTTAATGATGTTATTAATGGCATATTAGGGATATAAAACAAATTTAGTATCTTATTGAATAATAACAATACCTCTAATTTTTTTAGTGTTTTAGTTTATAGGCCTACACCATGTAATATTGCCTTAACATCACAAACTCTACCATCCCAGTGGGAAACTCCACTATTTCACAATAACATCATTTGTCCAATCACCCATTTATTACATTGTTCCTGTGGAACTATCTTGTGTCATTTCTTCTAATACCTTGTGCTTTTGTGGTACCAATCAATTATGTCAGATTGGGTCTAACTTTCCAAAGTACCTTCTGAACAACCCTACAGGATAGTGGCATAGTATATAACTATTTTATAGAAGAAGAAACCTTGAGCCTCAGACAAATTAAGTGCTTTGTAGAAAGTCACACAGCAAATGTTGGTGGTGCTGAGCCCTAAACTACTACACTGCCTTCCAGTAAGCTGCCTTTATTTAACTCAAGGAAAAAGTGCAATTGTGCCCTATATCTTATTTTAAAGTATAAGGATAGCATTTTAATAAAATCAGAAACTATTCTGAGTACATGCAATGGTATTATGGCAAAAGTACTATACTTGGAGTTAGAAGACCTATGTTCTATTTCCTGTTCAAAAAGTAGCTGTCCCTCTCTGGGTTTCAGTTTCTTCATCTGTAAAAGGAAGGTGCTCTATTAGATGATTTCCAAGATCATATCCAGATTTAAATTCTATTAACTCTATAACTCTAGGGCTGAGTATGGCTTTTCATTTAAAAAAAAAAAAGAATGCCTCAGAACTAATAGCTGATGTTTATATAGCACTTTAAAGTTTGCAAAATATTTTAGATACAATCTCAGAATGTTTGCCTCATAACAACCCTGTGAGAAAGACCTTTACAATATTATTATTATTTCTCCTATAGAAATGAGGCAACTGAGGCTCAGGAATGCTGTGACACACCTATGACCACACAACTAATACTTGTCAGATATGGGGATTTAAGCCCAGTTCGCCTTCAGGACTCTAACCAGCACATCATGCTGTCTCTCTCTGTGGTTGGATGGGGAACTTGGTCCTCTTCTGTTGGTTTTAAGTATACCTTGGTGCTACTGATCAATAAATGTTTATTAAGTGTCTACTATATGCCAGGCACTGTGCTAAGCACTAGATACAGAAAGAAGCAGAAGACAATCCCTGCCCTTGAGGAATTTACAATCTAATGGGGGGATCCAACATATAAACAAATATATATACTATGCAAGATAAATTAGTGGAAGGCACTAGAATTAAGAGGGTTTGGGCAAATATTCCTGTAGAAGGTGGTATTTTAGTTGAGATTTAAAGGAAGCCAGGGAGGTCAGGTTTTTTTTATTAATTTATTTATTTTTAGTTTTCAACATTTGAGTTCCAAATTTTCTCCCCATCTCCTCCCTCCCCGCCAGCCAAGATGGCTTGCATTCTGAATTCCCCTTCCCCTAATCTGACTTCCCTTCTACACCCCCCCCCCATCCTATCTCTTTCCCTTTGTCTTTTCCTGTAGGGCAGGATAGATTTCTATACCCCACTGCCTGTATAACTTACTTCAGGGAGGTCAGTTCTTAAGTTTTTCAGGATTTAAAATAATTCAGTTATTATCCTTCTAGGAGGCATCATCTAGATTGTTTTTTATATGACTTAAAAATTAAATTAGGATGAATGGGTCCAAAAGAGATCAAAGTTCTCTAAGGCCCATGTCCAACCTTCTCTCAGCTGAAATACAGGTCAAGAAGGGTAGTCTAGGTAAAAAGAAGCCACAAGACAGAGAGATGAATGCAAGAGAAGAGTAAAAGCAAGATGAGGATAGATCATGAAGGCTCCAAGAAGAGTACTAGAAATAATGGGTGATAGAAGTGAAGTCACCGGCAGAGGCTAAATAGCAGAGCATTAGATTCTAATTAAGGTAGAAAAGCCAGGCTCCAACAATAACATTATAGGATTTTTCTAAAGCTAACCTTTTCACCTCAGTCATAACTACTATACTTTATTAAGAATGAAATAATTTTTTTTTATACTTCTGCCTTCATTTCTCAGGAAAGGAACTCCAGAGTACTTTAAGTATCATCAAGTAATATCACTAACATTTCTGCCTAAATATGTGGGGCATAGTGCATGACTCAAACTCGCTTTCCATGGAGATGGTGGGGAAGGGAACATACCACCCTCCACCACTACAGCCCTCTTCCAGTGGAGGATCATCTGCAGCAGCAGATTGGAGACCAACCCTTGACATCTGCAACTGTGAGCTTTACCATTCATGTGTCACCTACTCTTTCCCTACGACCTCTTCTGTTTCCTGTACCAAACTATGCCCAACCCCATTATCTCATCCTCATCATCTCAACCCTACCCATGTTCATCCCAACTTTGCCCACTCCTTCCACTGTGCTCCCTTTAATAATGGACTTTTTCCGCTCATACTTCTTCCAGGTACTAACCTCATTGAGACCTGACTTCCCCCAGAACACCATACCCCTAGCCATCCTCTCCAGTATTGGCTACTATACCTTGTCTCACTCCCCTAGACACACTGGTCTTTAAAAGGATCCCACCACCACTTTACTTACCTTTACCTCTATCATTCCACAACTTTTCCTCCTTTGAAGCACATTCAATAAAAAGCTTCCACTCAGTCCATATCACAGTGGCTGTAGTTTATTCTCTCCCCCAGGTCATTCTCTCTCATTTCTCAATTAGCACCTTACTCACCACCTCCATCTACTCAACTCCTGCCTTCATAATAAGCATCACATTGATGTTCCCTCATAGTCTCTAACCAATCAATTCCTCAGGTTCCTTAAATCTCATGACCAACTCCCATCACTCTAGCTGAGTCATGTGTAGGGATAGTCCTATAACAGTTTTCACCATTACTCAAAAGCATTCCATTTATTTAATTAGCATTCCTCTTTCTAACTGTAACTTCCCATGATTCCACCTCTTCTTTGCTTTCACTGAGACCTCTAATATCTCCACCCCTCATTATTTTCTAAGGTCATTATCCCTGCTGTTTTCACTTTCCTTCTTTTCCAGTTTTGACCCAACAATCTTTTAACTGACAAATCTTATGGACTTATCTTATTCTTCATCTTTCTTGACCTACCTGCTGCATTTGACACTACCGGGTAGGCACCTAGTGGTGCAGCAGATAGAGCACTAGACCTGCAGTCAGGAGGATCTGAATTCAAATCCAGCCTCACACACTTACTAGCTGTGTGATCTTGGGCAAGTCATTTACCCTGTTTGCCTAAGTTTCCCCAACTGTAAAATGGGGATAATAACAGAACCTACCTATCCTGCATGGGTTGTTGTGATAATCAAATGAGATATTTGTAAAGTGCTTAGCATAATGCCTGGCACACAGTAGGCAAGATATAAATTTTTATTTCATTTCCTCTTGACCACCCTCTCCTCCTCAATACTTTTTTCTCTCTGGATTTTTGTGACACTCCTCTGTCCTTGTTCTCCTCCTACCTGTTTAACTGCTCCTTTTCAGTATCTTTTGTTGGCTGAGCACATGTATCACACCCCTTAACTGTGGGTGTCTCCCAAGATTCTCTCCTAGGCCCCCATGGGTTTAACTACTATTTTTATGTAGATGATTCACAGATCTGTATATCCAGCCCCAGTCTTTCCCCTGAGCTTCCATCCTTTATTGTCAATTGCCTATTGGACATTTCAAACTGGATACAGAAGGGACACAACAAACTCAATGGGTCCAAAACTGAATCCATCCTTCGTCTCAAACCACCCCCTTGTCCAAGCTTCCTTATTTCAGTCAGAGGTACCATCATCTTTCTAACCTTCTAAATTCATAATCTTGGCACAATCCTGGATTCCTCACTCTGCCTCATCCCATGTATCCAATAAGTTGTCAACCTTCACATCATCTGTTGCTTCTGTCCCTTCTCTCTACTCACACAGCTATCACTTTAGCTCTGACCCTCATTTCCTCCTTCCTAGATTACTACAACAACCTCCAAATTGGTCTCTTTCCCCCAAGTTTCTAACCCTTCTAATACATTTTACACACTACCACCAAAGTAACTTTTCTTAAGTGGAGATCTGATCATGTCATTTTCCTACTCATTCAATCCCATGGCTCCCTTTTGCTTCTGGGTTAAAATATAAATTACTCTGTTTAGTTTTTAAAGCCCTTTATAATGTGGCCTCAACCTATCTTTGCAGCCTTACTGGACATTACTCTCCCTCCTATACTCTACTATCCAGCCAAACTGGACTTTTCTCTCTTCCTTACACAGGACACTCCATCTCCCATCCTTTGCACTGGATGTCCCCCATGCCTAGCATGAACTCCCTCTTTATCTCTGCCTCAGAAGCAGCATGGTGTAAGGGTGAAAGAGCAGGTCTTGAAAGATTTGGGTTCAAATCCTAATTCTGCCACTTGCTACTTGTGAGGAGGTTGGATAAGATGGCCTCTGAGGTCCTTTCTACTTCTAGATTCGGATCCTATGACTGGAGCTCCCATTCCTTCAAGACACAGCATAAGCACCACCTACATAAAGCTTTCCCTTGTCCCAGTTGCTAGTGCCCTCCTTCTCAAACTACCTCGTACTTAAAAACTTTGTATTTATCTGCATTTATTAGGTATATAGTTGTTGTCTTCCTCATTAGAATGTAAGCTACTTTCATATAGATACGATTTTGTTCTTTGTACAGAACAAAACAGAAGAGCAACAGAGTGCCTAGGACAAACAGGTACTTGATACATGCTTGCTGACTGACTGATTCCCCTCTACTGACTAATTTCCCTTGTTTACTTTAAGTCCCAGTTATAAACTCCTGGAAAGCAGAGATCTCCTTGTGCATTTTTTTTTATCCCCAGCACTTAGCAGAGTGCCCCATACAGAGCAGGCACTTAATAAATGTGTACTGACTGACTATAGCTTTCTAACATCTCCTGCTAGAACTCCCCATAATGGTACTTCTTGAATCACTCAGGTTTGAAATTTCAGTATCACCCTCAACTCCTCAGTCTCACTCACCTCCACATATCCAATCAGTTGCCAAATCTTGTTTCTATCTACATTTGTTGTTGTTCAGTCATGGCTGACTCTTTGTGAGCCCATCTGGGCTTTCTTGGCAAAGAAGTGGTTTGTCATTTCCTTCTCCAGATCATTTTTTTTTTAACAGATGAGGAACTGAGGCAAATAGGGTCAAGTGAGTTGCCCAGGGTCACACAGCTACTAAGTGTCTGAGGCCAAATTTGAACTCAGAAAGATGAGTTTTCTTAACTCCAGACCTGCCAATCTGTCCATTGTGCCACCTAGCTGCCCCTTCTATCTCCATAATTTCCAGCATATCTCTTTTCACTCGTACAGACATTCCTCTGGTTAAAGTTTCCTATTTGGATTCCCTGCATCACCCCTCTCCCTCCTTCAATTCATCCTTTATAGAGCTACCCAAGTTATTTTCCTAAGGTGTAGGTCTGGTCAAATCATGCACTCCCAACTGCACTCCCCCCAACTCTATAAACTCCTGAGGCTCCCTACTGCCCTAAAACAAAACAAAAACTTTTTGACATTTAAACCTCCTCATATAAATTGGCCTCTTCCTGCCTTTCCAGTCTTCTTACACATTCTCTTCCCTTGGCACTTTGTGATCTAGTTATATTGGCCACTACTAACAAAACACTTCATGTCTAATCCCCTTGTCTTTGCACCAGTTGCTTCCAATCCTGGAATGCACACCCTCCTTTAGTCAGAAAAACTAAAGTGCTAACTCCTTCATGAAGTTTTTCCCTGGTACCCCTGGCTACTAGGGCTCCCCTTCCCCAAACTACCTTGTATTCATTGTGTATATATTCACATGTATACATGTTGTCTCCCTAATTAGAATATATGGGCAAGAATTGTTTCATTTTTTTTTCTTATATCCCCAAGGCTTAGCACAGTGCCTGGTAACATAGTTAAGTGCTTAACAAATGCTTACTGGCATATGCTTCATTAACTTAAATATGCATATGGGTCCTGAAGATGTCAATCAACAAGTATTTACTTGTCTTTATTATGGGACAGGCCCTGTATTAAGTCTTGGGAATATAATGAAAGGCAAAAACACTGACCCTTGCTTATAAGGAACTCATATTCTAATTGGGGAGACAATTTACAAGAAGCTTACAGAGTAAATGAAAAGCAATTTTGCAGGGAAGGCACCATGAAAGTAGAGAGGGGAAGAGGGTGACCTATCTCTGTTCAGTTATTTCAGGCTCTTTGTAACCTCATTTTTGGGGTAAGATTTTCCTGCCAAAGACAATGGAGTGGTTTGCCATATCCTTCTCCAGCTTACTTTACAGCTGAGGAACTGAGGCAAACAGGGTTACATGACTTGCCTAGGTTCACACAGCTAGCAAGTGTCTGAGCCCACTTATGAAGATAAGTCCTCCAGATTTGAACCCCAGTGTTCTACCCATTGGGCAACCTAGCTGCCCTGAATTATTTGTACCTGAGGAACAGAAACTGAGCTCCCTTACTACATGGGATACAGAAATTGACTGTCAGATAATAGTAACAGGTAGCACATATATAGCACTTTAAAATCGTCAGAGTGCTTTAGAAACACCTAATTTTTTCTTCACCCCAACTCTGGGAGTTAGGGCCTGTTTTACAGATGAGGAAACTGAGGCAGACAACGGTTAAACATCTTGCCTAGGGTCACACAGTTACGAAGTGTAGGAAGCAGGATCTGAACTCGGGTCTTCCCGACTCCAAGTCCATCGCTCTATCCTGAGCACCACAGATGTAGACAGTAGGAACTTCTCAAGCCCTCAGGGAGGTCCAAGGAGCCCAAAGCTAGATGAGCTCTTGAAGCTGGAGAGAATGGGCAGCACAGCGAGAAGGCTGCGGGGCGCCCTCCCCGGCGCCAGGGGGCGCCAGAGCAGCCGCGACTACACCGGAGCCGTAAACCAAGGGCCGGGGCCGACATTTCTACAGCGCTTTATGGTTTGCAAAGCACTTCACACATAGCAGATCATTTTAGCTTCACAACAACCCTGTAATGTACGTGATAATTTATTTCCCATCTTACAAATAAGAGAAATGAGGTGCGGAGAAGTGCCTTGGGCAGCCAGCAAGTCCCATTCGAACCAGCATCACACCTAGAATGCGAGGCTGCTTCTTCGACAGAAAGATAATTACGTAATTAGTTCGTTAACAGAGGCGCCCCAAGGGGCTGCCGGAGTTACTCAAGGCCCTGGCATCTTTCTCCCACGGGAGGGGCTAAGATGCCCAAGTCCAGCATGAAGAAGTAAAGTCAGCGGCTCCTTCCAGCGCCCCACGCGCGTAGCTGGAGGCCTCACCTGCGGATAAATGCGCTGCAGAAACTCTTCGCGCGTGACGCCCTCGAGCTGAGGTACTGGGATGCGCCTCGCCATAGCACCTAAGTAAGTGCCGGCTTCTCAGGTTCCTCCTCCACTCCACTTCCGGCTTTACGCTATTTCCGGTCCGTCCAGTCGTCCCGGAAACATGATTATCAAGAGAGAAGGTCCGTGTGTCTGCCAGTCTTTAGAGAGAGAGGTCGGTAGCCGGCGAAGGCTGAATTGAAAAAGAGGTTCCGTCACCGCTGCTGCGGCCGCCGCTGCGGGGAGGTGAGGCTGTGTGACTGGCTGGATCTCCCCGGAAGCAAATGCGACAGACCTGGTTTGAAGCTGGCGAGTTTCCCGCCCGGCCCGCTCTTGAGGTTGCACTGGCCCCGTTGGGGTGAAAGGCCGGCAAAATGGCGCTGGCCATTCAGCTGCCCCGCTCCCTGATTGCACGGCTGCTGACTGGCAGAGCCACCCGCCCAGCCCAGTTCAGGCCCGCGGAGACGTTGCCACCCTTCCCTGGCTACTGCTGCCGCTGCCGACTCAGCCTCGGCCTCAGCTACCGGGCTGCCCCCGGGGCTGGCTGGGCCCGGGCAGCGGCGGCCCCACGCCTCAGCCGCCGCCGCCCTCTCCTCAGCCCAGCCCAGCGCTCCCCAGCCGCCGCTGCCGCCGCCTTAGTCCTCCCCGGGCCCGGGCCTGGCCCCTGCCCATCTCCTCCCGAGCGGAGCTACAGCAGCACGGAGGAGCCGCAGCCGCCGCCGCGCCAGCAGACCAGGGTCATGTACCTGGGGCTGTTCAACCCCCTCGTGTGGCTCCGCACCCAAGTCTACTCCTTCCTCATCTGGGCCTATTTCGACCAGGAGTTCAGCATCGCCGAGTTCACCGAGGGCGCGAAGCAGGTTTGTCCCCTCCCCCCTCCCTGGGGTCTTCCTCCTTTGCAGCTTGAGGTCTCGGGGTCTTGGGGTGGGGAGGGTGACCTCTGGTCCGTCCCGTGCCCTGTCAGTGCCAGCGTTCGGATTTATAATCGGAGGAACTGGATTCCAACTTGTTTCTCCCACTTAACACTTTGTGTGATTGTGATTGTGATTGTGATTTTGGGCGATTCACCCATGTTCACACAGCTAATCTGTTTGCTCGTTTGTATTACAAAGGAGTTGAACAGACCTATGAGAACCCCTCCAACTCCAAATTCTGTGATCCCACTTAGTACTCTTTAATGGGAGCCACCTGGATTAGGGATCAGAAACTTTTGTGAAGGTTATTCATTATTTCAGGGACTGTTTCTGATGTTTGTCCTGCCTCTCTTGTTTTCTTGCCAAGTCATTATTACGTTGGGTAACATTTTGGTAATGCCTGACATACCGTGAATGGTGCTGTGGCTTTAAGACCAGTGACTTCGTTAAGTTTTACTTGTTTTTACTTGTTTTGCTCATCATTCGTGTCATGAGCAAACGGACTAACTTTAGAACATTTAAATATAAGAATTTGTCAGTCTTCTTTGTAGTAGTTATAGTATAATTAAGTTGTTAAACAGAATTTAAATCCTTCACATTCTTGAAACAGTAAGTAGGTGATTTGGTAATTTGTCATGCTCTGTTTATTCAAAAGGTTGTTTTCCGTCTGTCTTCTATCAATAAACATTTCCTGTTTGGGGCTAAGTTCTAGGAATAACAAATACAAAGGCAAGTCCTTTTCCTAGAGGTGCTAAAAGTCTAAAAGAGGAGACAGGCTAAAAAGAGGAGACAGCACATGCACTTGAGTAATATATATGTCGCATTTAACATTTAACATTAAATTATAGCTGCAGCTGAAAGATCCTGAATGATCTAGAATACAGTAGCTTAATATTTCAAAAGAGGACATGGTTTCAAATCCCAGCCCTGAAATTTGCAGTTTTTGTGGTCTTAGGAAAGTCAATTCACTTCTCTGGCCTTTGATGTTAATATGGTTCAGCTATATCTTCTGATGCAGGGATTAGAAATCTTTTGGATATCAAAGTGCCATTACTCTTTAATCCTGGCTGGGCCAAAGACTTGCTCAATGCCACTGGTTAGCCTCTGACATATTCAGGAGGCATGGAAACTGGAGGAAGACAAAAGATATTTAGAGATAACTGGTAAAGTATTACTTAGTTGTATTGCTAATAAACCACTCTTAGCAAAAGTTGGCAGAGAATACTTATTCTCAAGAGAACAGGTTCTAGTCACTCTTGCTGTAAGTCTTATAAACCTTCATGTCTGCTTCTTAATCTGTAAAGCAAAGATAATAATGCCTGACTTCCACGGATCAGAGGATATTTGTAATATTTAAATAAGATGGTGTGTTTGAAGGTTTTTTGCACTGAATAATAGAATTTTAGAGATAGAAAAGACTATAGAGGTCATCTGGTCAACACCTTCCTCTTTTTTCATGAAGAAATTATGGCTTCAGGTCTCAAAGTTAGCTGGCTAGTAGCAGTGCTGGAAGAAAAATCCAATTCTCCTATCTTCCTAGCAATTGTCCCTTTCTACTAAAGCTACTTCCCTCAGGTTTATACATATTTGACAAAATTGTGTTACAGTCAGGGCAAGATGATTCTGCCATCTTTTTGAAGAAAAATGTATGTGAGAATCATATAACTAATATTTCCATGTTTAGGAATTAAGGTGAACATCTAGAATATATGTAGTACTATGCTAGGATACAAAAAAAGTATCATTTCTTCAAGAATCTTACAGTTGATCCAGGAAGATGAGACACACGCATGAAAAGTTACCAAAAAAAAATGGCCCAAAATTGTGATTTCATTGGTGTAAGCAGTTTTCTATAAAGAAACTTCCTCTACCAATCCCTGACAGGTGGTAGGCCCTAAATTACTGCTTATTCCCTTTGCTCCCCTCTAGACCATGTAGAAATGGACAAACGCTTGGCAAATATGGAGGAAAGAATAGATGATCTCTTTTCCAGATCTCTGATTCATTGTGAAAGTCTCACTACCTTTGCATCCTTTTCAAGTGTGAATACTACTAGCAACTTTTCTCAGCCCCTATTTTTCATTCTATGAGTAAAATTTTGAGAGAGCCATGTCCGACTTACCTACCATACACAGTGTGTAGTGTTTATACTTGTGTATAAGTGGGAAAGCCTCTTTTCATGATATCATGAAATATCTAATTTTTTTTCCCTTTTTTGATAAAGGCTTTTGCGCATGTATCTAAGCTGCTTTCTCAGTGTAAATTTGATCTTCTGGAAGAGCTTGTCACCAAGGAGGTAAAATAATCATTCCCCTTCTTCTTTAAAAAGAAACTAATACATTGATCTTGTGTTATGCTACTTATTTTATATATCTGAAGTATAACAAAATATTCTTTGTAAACACTCACAAAGAATGCTGTATATTTTATTAGCCAATAAATGCCTACTATTTATATATACTGGCAGCTAGATGGTGCTGGGATAGAGTGCTAGACTTGGAATTGGAAAGACAGTTCATATCCTACCTTAGCACTAGTTGTGTGACCCCCCCAAGTCAAGTCACTTAATCTCTCCTTAGCCTCAGTTTCCTCATATATAAAATGTGGATAATCATAGTACTTTCCTCATGAGGATCAAGTGAGAACATAAGTAAAGCATTTGGCAAACCTTAAAGCAGTATGTAAATGCTAGTTATTATTTTTAGAAGTGTCAAAGCAGTGAATTCTTGACTTTTCAACACATGTAAGATTAAAATAGGTTGGTGTATCTATGATCTTATCAATGTGCTTCCTTCCTCCATTAAAAAAGTTCACAGTCATTCATAGCCTCTCATCCTGTGCAGCTCTTGTCCATATCTTCCCATAAATCTTCCACAGGAGTTCACTCAGCATATTGGGGTGGCTCCTTGAGATCTCTGAATATTGCCTGGGTACTAGTGGATTTCATAGGCTGTATATCTATTATTCCTCACTGGGATTACCTGACTGGCTCACCTCCATATCATTTGATGATATCTTTGATGTTGCTTCTTTGCAACACATAAAACAAAGATGAAGGTAGCCAAATTGTAACAGAATTGAAGATAAACTAACATATTTAAATAGCACATTACAGCTTCAGGTCAAGAATGATCTGCCTGAACATTAGAGCCTTTCCAACCTACTTCCATGAGGATTGTCCAGTACAGTAATAAAACTTAGAAATGAGAAAGAAAACATTATTTTTCTTTTTCTTATGTGCTGCTTAGTCTTTGAAATCATATTTTATTTGGTAAACTCAGTAAAGCTATTGGCTTGATTCCTCCAAACCCAGGTACTCCAAGTGTTGAAGGAAAAAGTTGCTTCATTGCCTGACAACTATAAGACTGCACTTGCTGCTGAATTCGATGAAATTGTATACACCGCAACAGGTGACATCTCCATTTACTATGATGATAAAGGTATGAGTTGACATAGACATCTGAATTCCATCTGAGTTATTCATGGTGACAAATATGAATCAGCATTTAGGGAGATAATTCCAAACTTATTATCTACATTGCTTTTGAATAGTTTTCTTAGGTCTTTGATGTTATAGGAACTAATAGTACTAAGATAATAGATTTATTCTGTGAAAACCCAACTCAGAAGGAACCATAAAATTGATAATACCATCTGCTCATTACTTTTCCTTGTTACCTACCCTCTTTATGTGTGTTAAAGACTTTATCACATCTCAGATTGATGAAAAGCACCAGCTTGAGATATATTGCCACCTTCTTTTTGAATTCACCATATTCATGATTCATAACTTGACTTAAGTTTCAAGGAAGTAAATATGAGTTTAGTTTTAAAAGTCTCTGGCCGTGAGTGGAGCTGGGTTTGGGTGTAGGAGAAAGGAAGAGGAAAAAAGTACATTGTATCAATCAAGGACTGATAAATAGTATCACTTACTCTGGTTACTCAATGAGAATTTGAAAACAAGATTAGTTTCAGAGCTAAAATGACTGTAATTTGACTATTTATATATGGGTATAATGGTAAAGTTTTATTTTCTATTATGAATTTAACAAACATGAGCTAAATACACAACAAATAAAAATATTGCATATAAAACTATAAACATTGGCCAATGTGAGGTTGTTTCTTTTTAAAGTGG